ATGTGGGATCTTCCCGGACCGGGGCACGAACCCGTGTCCCCTGCATCGGCAGGCGGACTTCTCAACAACGCGCCACCAGGGAAGCCCTGAATTATTTTTTATACATCCTTATGTCCTTTAAAAATTCTGATCTGAACCAAGGGATCATACCTTGCACACAGTTGTCCTCAAATTTTTTAATGAGTTTTCTTGCTGAAGGTTTTCAGTTAACCAGCCCTCAACCTTGTGGGTGCCCATTAAGTTTTTTTTTTTTTTTAAATAGTAAATGTAAACTTTCTGCATGGCAGGCTTCCAGCTCTAACAAGTAAGGTTCAGAGGGCAGGGTGCATTCTGGAAAACAGAATACCACCCTGTTATTGGAGCTTAAGATGAACACAAATAAGGCTGGGGTTATATCTTAGCACATGGGCTAGAGTTCAGGTTTCATTTTATAGGCAAAGAAACACTAAATTCTCAAGGAAGAATGGTCTGAATGAACTATTCATTTTAGCAAGGTGACTGTGGCAACAACGGGCCAGACCAGCTAGCTTTGGCAACAATCCAGAAGTATTACCTGCTTAAAGTAAATTTATTTTATTTTTTTTTGGCCACACCGTGCCGCTTGCGGGATCTTAGTTCTCCAACCAGGGATCGTACCCCTGCCCCCTGCAGTGGAAATGCAGAGTCCTAACCACTGGACCACCAGGGAATTCCCTCAAAGTAAATTTAAAAAGCAAAATGGGGTGAGGTGAAGAAGAGAAACAAGACTTGCTCTGAGTAGATGTTGAAGCTGTGTGATGCGCAGAAAAGGGGCTTCTTATTCTACTTTTATGTTTGAAATTCCTCATGATTAAAAAAGGTAGTGGGGCTTCCCTGGTGGCGCAGTGGTTGAGAGTCCTGCCTGCCAATGCAGGGGACACGGGTTCGTGCCCTGGTCCGGGAAGATCCCACATGCCGCGGAGTGGCTGGGCCCGTGAGCCATGGCCGCTGAGCCTGCGTGTCTGGAGCCTGTGCTCCACAACGGGAGAGGCCACGACAGTGAGAGGGCCGCATACCGCAAAAAAAAAAAGTAGTGATCTTGTAGAAGTCATAAATATACACTGACGTGACAAAGGAAAAAACCCTAATTACAAGGATAGTTGGTTTTGGCATAAAGTTTTTCATAAATGAATTAGAAAAGTACTGTATCACCTCAAATACACGATACAGAAATAGCCCATGATACAGAAACAGATGTTGAAGAATTTAAATAACAATTCATTCTGAAAGATTGAGAAAAAGCAGCATATCTAAATTAACATTTATATGCTTTTAAATGTGTACAAATAATATATTTATAGCTATAGTAGATATTTAGCTATTTCCGCCATGAACTTAGTTTGTGGTCTAACTAATCAAAACTTTCAAATCTTCTCATTAGGAATATGGAGTCTTGTCTTTGGGAAGGTACTGTAATATGGGATGGGTTAAACAGAGTACAGCCATGTGATTTTATATGCAGTTGAAAACCACCTCTAGATATTGTACATAACTCTCTTTATATATGTACATGTATATATACCTAAATTTATATACTGTTTAAAAAAATGGTGTGACAAAAGTTGAGTGGAGAGTAGGGTGGCCGTACTTAGACATGTGGTGTCTCTTTGGAAGGGTTAATAAACCATCTGGGAGAGGAAGTGGGGAGATGGAGATAGTGCTCTCCCCTCCAAATCTTTATGAGCACGTTAACAGTAACACTCACTGGAGGTTGGTATCACAGGGGACTTCCTTTCTTCACACATTGTCTTATAATTTTTTTTTAAAGGCTGGAATAATGCCTCTACTATAGAGGCAAATCAGAAAGGGACTATGTCTAAATGAAGCTTGAGGGAATTCCCTGGTGTCCAGTGGTTAGGAATCTGCACTTTCACTGCTGAAGGCCTGTGCTCCATCCCTGGTCGGGAAACTAAGATCGCACAAGCCACATGGTACAGCGCCCCCCACCCCCCAACAAAAGAACACAGATTACTTGCTATCTCGGCACCACTCTATTTTGTAATAGACTTTTGCTCCAGCTGGTATCCATTCTGGCAATAGCCCCCAGCATTACAGGTCCAAGTTTCTCTGGTTGCATGTGGGCCCGTGACTCACCATCTCCCTGATTTCCTTCTGCAGTATCCTCTCTGGCTCCTTCAGAACACAACTGAAACTCCTATCTCCTTTACAGTGGTCCCTCCTTTGGTCTGTTGCTCAATCCTATGAATTAATACATCTTGTAAGAGAATGTCAGAGGTTCAGGCAGGCTTTTCATGACCCTACTGCATCTTGTAAATCAACCTGAATCACAAGTTTGTTTTTGGACTCAGAGTAATAACGGAAGGTCATCTGGCCATCCCTGACGCCAGGCCACATGACAGCTCTTTGGCCTCTTAAGGAAATGTCGCTGCCCTAGCCTCTGGTTTTAGTCAAGTGTGGTCCCAGAACTTTTAAAGGGACTCACAATTCCCTTTAAATACATTATGAAGTAGGCAGAGAGCATGGGTTCAAGATTGTTTTTATTTTCAGAGCCTGCAACAGTTGGTTACCAGTGTTACTAAGCTGGTACATTCTGAAGGCCATCCCACCTCCCTTTTCAGGCATTCAACCAACAGAATCCCTACAAACAAGATTACAGACTAATTAAGATGTGTCTCAATGTGTGTGGGGGAAGAAGCCTTCTCCCCCTGCTCCCCTCCTCCCCACATACTTTTTCTAACAAGATTGTTTTATAGTCAAATGCAACTCAAACCCATAACACAGCAACCAGTCATCTCCAGTATCACTGATTCTCTCCCCGCCCCCAGAACAGGAAGCCAGGGCAAGAGGGGAGACTGAATCTGCTATATAAGAAAAACTTTGCTATACCCCAATGGAGCAAAGATGGTGAGGAAGCCAGCGCCTAAGGGTGGGGATGAGCAGGAACCAAACATGCCTGTCTAGAATCAATCAACTCAGCCCCAGCTCCTTGGGAGGTGTTCCTTTGAGACCCCTACTTCTGTGGGATGAGATGAGGGGCAACTGATGATGATCCATCTCTCCCGTCCCTCAAATTAAAACATGATAAACTCAAAGTTTTACCTTCAAAATACACCACGCCGCCTCCTGAGAAACACATTCTATAGTCACCTCTGCCAGCACCCACTCCTTTCTAATGCCCAGGGCTTCCAGCCCCTCTCCCCAACCTTGGGTGGCCCAGCCAACACTGATTTGATACTCCTTGACTCATAGAATGACTATTTTTAAAAAATTAAAATAGAAGCAATCAAAGAGTATCAGAGTAATAGAAGAAAGACACTCAATATATACTCCCTTCCCTTATCTGGCAGAGCCCCCCATCCCTGCCCGCCTACACTGGGATGCCTGCTCTACCATGTTCCAACACTGACCTGGGGGTGGCCCAATGGAAGCTGCCTCAAGTGCTTTCCTGACTGTGACTCCTAGACCAGCAACATCACAGCGAGCAGGGTCACCCCAGTAGATCTCAAGGGCCTTCGAGGTAGGTCTGGGAAGTTTAGCTTATGTCCTGTAGCCAAGCCCGAGTCTGGGGCCTGCTCCCACCAGTATCTCAGTCCTTGGCTGTTTAATAGCAGCAGCCCCAGTACTGCAGCGCCTCCTGGGGATGACAGAGTGCCTAGTTCTCTGTCCCACAACTCATGTCCTTCTTCCCCCTCCCTTTTTCTTTTTTTTTAAAAATTAAAGGCAGAGGTAGTCCCTGGGATGATAAAACCCCACCTAGGATGGCAGTATTGTAACTTAAAGAAGCAGTTAAATAAAAGTCTCCAGGAGTTGATTACAAAAAAAGAAAGAAAAGAAAGTGACTGATGAAGTTGAATAAATTAATGATATGGGTTATCCCACAAAGAACTTTCCTTCGCAGGCCGTCTTTGGTATTTGGCCAGCAGCATTTGTGAGTCTTCTCTCCACTCGGACTCTCCTACCCCTCCCCCCTCAGGAGAGAAGGCCATTGCCCAACGAGGCCCAGGCAGCTCATCCAGCTATGGGGGATGAGGAGTCAGACATCTTGACTTGGTGCTTGGAACTGTGCTGTGGCATGTGACAGCCTTGGCAGACCGTCCTGTTGCAGAAGGAGGACAACTTACAGGGACAGAAGAGCCAGCAGGATGCTCTGGGCTCCAACCCTGGGAGAGTGGGAGGTAGGTTTAAGACATGGAAGCCTCAGGCCTTCTCTCCAAACGTCACACGGCTGGCCCCTTTGCTCCAGTTTCTCTGTAGCAAAGAGGGGAGGGGGGTGGGGAGGGAGGCTCAGGCTGCTGCTGTCGGGCACTGAGACCCTCAGAGCTTCTTCAGACGGCTGTACATCTCTCTCTTGCTCCTTTCCCCGGCCCAGGTCCGGCTCTTGGTGCGGAACTTCTTCAGGTCTTCTTTAAAGTCCTCATGGTGCATGGGCCGGTAACTGGGGGGCTCGCAGTGAGACTGGCGGGAAGACAGGACGAAGTCAGGGCACACCTGCTTCATAAGCACAGTCCTGCGCCCTCCCTGCCGGGGGCTGCAAGGCTCTGCTCAGCAGGTTCTAGGGCCCTTCTGTGTGCAGGGCAAATCCCCAGACCCCTGGCAAGAAACATCCATGACCACCAGACATCTGGGTGTAGGGGCGGCCCCTACCCTCCAGAGAGTCCATCTTACCTGGCATTTCAGGAAGAACTCCTTATATCCGCCCTTCAGGACATATAGCTCCGGGTAATGGAGTTTGGGGTACTCGTTACCAAGCCGATCTCTCTCTCTCACATATCGGCACCTATAAAGGGGAAGGAAAGCCAAAGCGTGGCTAGCTCTACACAGTGAAAGCAGTGTTCCTTACACACATCTTCCCAACTTTACCTTCATTCTTGGAAACAATCAGTGTCAACTTGTGATTTCCTGGCCACGTTTTATCTTCAGGAATAGTGTTCACAGCCAGTGCCACCGCCTCGTATTGGCAGGTAGATGGTCTCTTCCCAACTTTTCAAGTTAAACAGCCCTAGCAACTGATCTCTGCCCAGGATCTTCCCTGCCACCACCAGCACCTAATCTTCGGTGACAGCTTCCCAGCCAGCTTCCCTCTGCATTCTCCACCCTCCATGACCAGTGTCTCTCCCTTACCTCCTTCTGAGCTTTGCTCCGGTCTCAGGGCACCTACTTGCATCCTGTACTAAAATGGACGATTGTGTAGTGTACTGTATACTCCTGTAGTTATGTGTGTGCAAATGCAGCAAAATATCACCAGTCGATGAAATCAGGGGAAGCATGCACTCTTTCTGAGCTTGAAATGGTTCCAAATAAAAAGGTGGCACAAGAACTTGAACCCAGCCCCATGAGAAAAGTCTCTCTTGGAACCTCCTAGTGAAGCTGCACTGCTCCCTGCCACCTCTGTCCCTGTTTGCTCAGCATTTGTCACAACCATCTTCCGTCTCTCCACTGGGACCTCCCCTGCGGCAGGTCAGTCCTGTTTGCTCACTGCTGTAACTTCATTGCCTCAATAGCCCCTGACATGTCCAGGCTGGCAGTCCTTTCTGAAGGGAACTAGCACAGATGGGCAGCTGTTTGGCCCTCCCCCTAGCTTTTTAATACCACCACTCACTTCTGACCCCATTTTCAGAACCAGTCCTGTCACCATTAGTGAGAGTGTGGAAAGATGTTGTTAGAGCATCAGAGTATTATTTTAAATCTGAAGTGATGTTATTTTATTGTAATTATACTTTCACTTATTTTGGTATAAAACTTATCTTTGTAGTAAACTATAACAGGGCCTTAGTCGCCAAAGCCCTAACAGAAGTTCTTATTAATAAGGGGTGGGGATGGGGGGGCAGGGGCATTTCTTTTCAACTCTAATGTGGCGATAACGTGAAGGTAACATAACCCACTCCTTGGCAAACGTGGATTTGACAAGTGTTCGAGAGCATCACATCAAGTTTTGCAGGGAGGATATGACACTTTTCTGGCATTTGCATAAGGAGCAACCACATTGTACCTGAAGGATGTCACCTGAGAACAGTAGCCCCATAGGTAGAAATAAGGACAGTGGCGGAAACTGGAAGAGCCAGAGTTTAATTCAATACAAAGGAAGACTGGACAGTGAGCCATGCCCAGCAGTAGCCAGGACTAACTCAGGAGTGAGGGTGATGAAGCAGAGGTCAGATCCTTGGGGGATGTTACACAGGGAACACCTATGTCACAGGCTGGACTGGGGAAGCCAGAAAGCCCTCCATGACGACTACTGTGAAACTGTTAGGGCAAGCCTATAAACTACACTCCAGGAAGCTGTTCATGAATCAACTGACTGCAAAACAGGTAAGGATTTGAGAGAATACCTGTTACACGTGAATTGATACTTTTACAAAACTAGGTATTTACACACCATGTGTGCAGGCTAAGGCATGGAAATGACATTCGATGTCATTGGTCCCACAATGTCGGTCCCACCGACATTCGATGGCGGTCCCACAAAAGCACCATGGGGGCCATGCCCTGGAGCCCACTCACATGCGAGGGCCTCGCTCAGAAGAAAACTCGCAGTGGAACACCACGATAACACGCTTGCCATCCGTAGGTACAATGGGCTTCTTGAGTAAGAAGTCTTCAACCTCCTCTTCCATGTGCAAGTTCACTGCACCCTGTGAAGGCACCAGAGACTCATGTTTCACACTCGCAGTAATGATTCTTCGAGAGTGGTCTTCAAATGGGCACCTCAAATTGTTATGACTGTGTGCACTGTATGAGTGGTATTTGTGAATGCCCGGGACTTTCACGGCCATGACAGTGGCAAACACTAACACTGTATTTAAAGTACCTCCTTACCGTATTTCAACACTATATTACTGGTTAAAAGATTAAAAGGGCATAACCAATTACTTTCTTCCTGGGAAAGTATGTTCCAATACCCACCTAACCAGGCAACTATAAATGTAAGAGGTATCACTAGGCTTGGCACAGGATGGGACATGTTGCCAGAGACTGGCTTCTCCTCATGGCTTCATATCCAGGCACGGCTTAGAAGTCAGTGGGTACCATTTAGAAATGCCCCTGATGGTGATGGTGATGGTCTGAGGGACAGAACAGGAAGCAGTTGCCGTACAGTGTGGTAGAGATTAGTGCAGACCAGGGAACATTCTTTCAGTGCACCAGGAGTCAAATGCCTTTCACGCCCACTGCTTCTTTTTATAATTCTTATAACCAGCATGTGAGCATTATAATGAGCAGCCAGGTGTCACCTCCCCCTTTAAAAAAAAAATCACAGATGCTGTCCAGGGCTCCGCTATGCCTCCCACAACAGCAGGGCTCGCCCACAAGCCTCAGGAATCCATACCTTGATGTGGCCTCCCTCATATTCATATGGGTACCGGCAGTCAATGATAACAAACTCTTTAATGAGGTTGGCAAACTTGCCACTCAAAACAGACGCTATCTGTGGAGAGAGAGCCAAGGAGAATCAACTCTGGCTGCCAGGAACAGGTAGATTCCATGTGTGGCAGGTTGCAAAAGGATGACTTACAATTTCTGGAGAGATGTATTTTAAATCCTGATGCTTTCCAGCAACTGTATGAAAGAGGTAACACTTTAAAAAAAAGAGAGAGAAAGAGAGAGAGAGAGAGAAATACTTAGCAAATCCAAGAGCTTAAAAATGCAACATTTTTATATTGCTTGCCTTCCTGGTAAGAGTCAGCTTGAAAAAAAAAAACAAACATTAATCTAATAGAATATGTTGGTTACTTGTCTAGGCACTTCATTAATATCCTGACACTGAATTTTCACACAGACCTATAAGGCACATTATCCCCATTTCCGTATGTCAAAGCTAGGTACCTTGTCCAAGGTGAGCCAGGAAGCAAGCCAGACTTGAATACAGAAACCTCAGGTGATTTCCTTTTTCTCCCGCTTTTGTTAGGAACCCTCACCTCAGCAGCCAGACTGTGTGCAGCACATAAAGGACACAGAGAGGAATGACTTCATTGTTTGCTGAGCACCTGCTATGTCCAGCATGGTGCTAGACATTGGAGGTGGAATGAGTGAGGCTGGGCCCAGCCTTGAGGGGGAAGGACGGGCACATCAGTAATTACTCACTAGGGCGGACTGGCCGAGTCAAGTGCTCACCCAATCCCGTGGCCATGTGTGGGGTCATTATGACAAACACAACCAACCACAGCTTAAATTCAGGTGCAAGCTTCTACCAGCAAGGACACACCACACCCAGGTCTTGGCTTGCTCCTCCCTTCAGACTAGAACTGTCTTCTATTTTTTTTTAATTTTATTTATTTTTTAACATCTTTATTGGAGTATAATTGCCTTACAATGGTGTGTTAGTTTCTGCTTTATAACAAAGTGAATCAGTTATACATATACATATGTCCCCATACCTCTTCCCTCTTGCGTCTCCCTCCCTCCCACCCTCCCTATCCCACCCCTCTAGGTGGTCACAAAGCACCAAGCTGATCTCCCTGTGCTATGCGGCTGCTTCCCACCAGCTATCTGTTTTACATTTGGTAGTATATATAAGTCCATGCCACTGTCTCACTTTGTTCCAGTTTACCCTTCCCCCTCCCTGTTGTCTTCTATTTTTCATCCACTTATTTCTCCCACATGGTTGAAATATCTAGCCCAGATCCAAACCTTCCCCAATCGCCTAGCTGAGACTGAGACAACCCTTTTTTATTCATTCATTCATTTATTTGGTACGCAGGCCTCTCCCTGTTGTGGCCTCTCCCATTGCAGAGCACAGGCTCCGGACGCGTAGGCTCAGTGGCCATGGCTCACGGGCCCAGCCGCTCCGTGGCATGTGGGATCTTCCCGGACCGGGGCACGAACCTATGTCCCCTTCATCGGCAGGCAGACTCTCAACCACTGCGCCACCAGGGAAGCCCAACCCTTTTATTTCTTAGTCTGCTGCTTTCACTGCACTGATGTTTACTTCAATCTACCATGTGATACATGTCCATGTGGCATGATGTCTTACTGACCATATGTTAAGTGTTTTGAGGGAAGGAACTATGTCTCATTTTGGAATCTTTGCCTTACACATAATAAGTGTTTCCATAAATGTCAGCTACATTAATACGTAAAAGACTGGTCTGGGCACCCTCAAGTCATATGTGGCTAAACAAGCTACTACTGACACAGGAACGTGTCACATTTCACCACAGCTCAAAGGCAGCCAACCTGTATCAGGCCATCAGCAGACCTTCCTCTGGACCTCCCTGAGGGCCTTTTCCCTCGAGGGCCATGCTCCTCTAGACAATGGAGAAATTTAGTCTCAATCCTGGACATTCTAAGAGGACCTTTTGATATATAGACTTATATACAGTGAGGCTAGAGGTTTATTTCTGCTTCTTTACACTTTTCTGCAGTACTGCTTTTATAATCACAAACACAGTTCCCAGAGAGCCTGGTCTTTGGGTTGGTGTCAAGGTGGCTGGTGGGTGGCTCCCTACTTGAAACCTCTGACCAGCATCAATAAGGTCTATAGTCCCACAGAGACTGAGATACACCTGATCATGAATGTGTTTCCTTATCTTAAAACAAATTTCAAACTGCGTCCCCTTGGCGGGGTGGGGTGGGCTGGGACGGAACCCCAGGAGCCACTTCAGGGAGGGAGGAAGGCTGAGGGGGGTCGTTTTAGGTACCCCCCTGCCAATCCTGCATCACAGAGCAGTTCTGCGTGCAATTACCTTGGAGAAGTCTCCTATAAGGTCCCTTGGGTCATTATCCAAAATATTCTCAATGGTCCCTTTTGGGGAAGATACCAGGCATAAAGACTGATGTAGAATCTGTAACAAATCAAAGGTGGAGAATGAGGCCAGGCTTCTCAACAGAACCTATGAAAACATTCACCTGGAACATGTCAGGAAGAAGAGACTGAAATGTGAACATCCATATTTAGCAAAAAGATACCTTTCTTATTTGACTGAATCTAGAGTGAAAAAAAGAATATGGGTTACTGACTAGGTATACTATTACTTGAACTGAATTCAATTCTAACTGAATTGCTCTGAAACTTCCTTTTTTTTTTTTTTTTAAAAAAAAAGGAGGATTAAAATTAGGGCTAAGTCTAAACAAAGTATTTCTTAGTTCTACCCACTGAGAAGCTCCAGGGTTGCAGTAAGTAGCCCCTAGGTCAGTGTGCTCTCTAAATAATACAGCTGACCCCTGAACAACACGGGGGTTAGGGTCACCATCTCACATCCCCCGAATTCAACCAACCACAGATCATGCAGTACCACGGTATGTATTTATTGAAAAAAATCTGCGTATAAGGGGACCTTCACAGTTCAAACCTATGTTGTTCAAGGGTCAACTGTATTTTCCACTAAAAGAAACCAGATCTTTTTGATTGACTCCAGGCTGGGACAAGAAATGTACAAGATAAACCTGGAACACTTTGTCATTAGTAGCAAGGAAGCACTCATATTTCAAAGGACACGTCAAAAGGGCTAATCGTGGGGAAGTAAGGATTTCTTTTATTCACTTAGTGTATTTTATATTTATTTATTTGGCTGCACCAGGTCTTAGTTGTGGCATGCAAACTCTTGGCTGCGGCATGTGGGATCTAGCTGCCTGACCAAGGATCAAACCTGGGCCCCCCGCATTGAGAATGTGGAGCCCTAGCCACTGGACCACCCTGGATTTCTTAAGCAGTACAGAAAAAACACGAAACATAAAAAGACTGATAAACATGTTTAAAAAAAAAAAATCAAGAAATTTTGTTCATCAAAAAAACAAGATTAGGTAAGAACAGGCAAGCCAGAGTTGGCAGATATGCATTCATCTCAATAAAAGATTCATCTCTGAATATATAAAGCATTCCCACAAATAAGAGACAACCCAATAGAAATATGGGCTAGAAACTTGGCTGAGTAACAGAGAAGAAAATCTAAGACCAAGAAAAATAACTATCAGGGAAATGCAAGTTAAAATCAGATACTACACACTCACCAGAATGGCTAAAGTTAAAGGGATGAACAACACCGGATACTACTGGTAAGGATGTGGAAGAACTGGAACTCTCACACACTGTTCTGAGTACAGCCAGCCCTCGGTATCTGTGAGACTGGTTTCAGGACACCCAAGGATGCTCATATAAAATGACACGTAGTACAGCTAGTGCTCAGTAAGAATGCATTGCAGGGGCTTCCCTGCTGGTGCAGTGGTTGAGAGTCCGCCTGCCGATGCAGGGGACACGGGTTCGTGCTCCGGTCCAGGAAGATCCCACATGCCACGGAGCGGCTAGGCTTGTGAGCCATGGCCACTGGGCCTGCGGGTCCGGAGCCTGTGCTCCGAAATGGGAGAGGCCACAACAGTGAGAGGCCCGCATACCGCAAAAAAAAAAAAAAAAAAAAAAAAAAAAAAAAAAAAAAAAAAAAAAAAAAAGAAAAAATTGCAAAGTTGGTTAAATCCATGGATGCGGAGCCCCCAGATATGGAGGGCTGACTGGACAACCACTTTGGAAAGCTACATGGCAGTGTCTGCTAAAGCTAAACACATGCCTAGCCTAGGACCCAGCAAGTCCACAAGAAAAGTGAAAGTGCATGTTTACAAAATAAATTGTATAAATACCATCAACTAGTATTTGACAAGGGAGCCAAGAATGCTCAATTAAGAGAAGATCAGTCTTTTCAATAATAAATCATGCTGGAAAAACGGAATATAAACATGTGAAAGAATGAAATTAGACCCCTATCTTACACTACTCACAAAAAATAACTTGAAATGGCTTAAAGACTTAAATGTGAGACAGGAAACCATAAAACTCCTAGAAGAAAACACAGGAAAAAAGCTCCTTGACATGAGTCTTGGCAATGACTTTTTTAGATTTGACCCCTAAGGCACAAGCAACAAAATAAAAAATAATTGAGACTACATCAAACTGAAAAGCTTCTGCCCATTAAAAGAAATCAACAAAATGCAAAGACAACCTACAGAATTGGAAAAAATATTTGCAAAACATATTATCTGATAAGGGGTTAATATCCAAAATATATAAGGAATCCATACAACTTAATAGCGAAAAAACAATCTTTTTTTTTAACATCTTAATTAGAGTGTAATTGCTTTATAATGTTGTGTTAGTTTCTGCTATACAACGAAGTGAATCAGCTATAGGTATACATATATCCCCATATCCCCTCCCTCTTGCCTCTCCCTCCCACCCTCCCTATCCCACCCCTCTAGGTGGTCACATAGCACCGAGCTGATCTCCCTGTGCTATACAGCTGCTTCCCACTAGCTAGCTATTTTACATTTGGTATTGTATATATGTCAATGCTTCTCTCTCACTACATCCCAGCTTATCCTTCCCCTCCCCGTGTCCTCAAGTCCATTCTCTACGTCTGCATCTTTAAAATAATCTGGTTTTAAAAAGTAGGCAAAGGACCTGAATAGACATTTCCCTAAAGATACACAAATGGCCAACAGGTACATGAAAAGATGATCAATATCACTAATCGTTTAGGGAAATGAAAATCAAACTATCGTACAATGAGATATCACTTCATGACTATAAGAATGGCTATCATCAAAAAGACAAGAGGGGGACTTCCCTGGTGGTGCAGTGGTTAAGAATCCGCCTGCCAGTGCAGGGTACATGGGTTCGAACCCTGGTCCGGGAAGAACACACATGCCGCAGAGCAACTAAGCCCATGTGCCACAACTACTAAGCCTGCGCTCTAGAGCCTGAGAGCCACAACTACTGAAGCCCGCGGCCCTAGAGCCTGTGCTCTGCAACAAGAGAAGCTACCGCAATGAGAAGCCCGAGCACCACAATGAAGAGTAGCCCCCGCTCGACACAACTAGAGAAAGCCTGAGCGCATCAACAAAGACCCAACGGAGCCATAAATAAATAAATAAGTAAATAAATAAAAATGGAAAAAAAAAGAGGGAACTCCCTGGCGGTCCAGTGGTTAGGACTCCACACTTTCACTTTGGGGGTCCGGGTTCAATCCCTTGTCGGGAACTAAGATCCCACAGTCCCCGCGGTGATGCCAAAAACAAAAAACAACAACAACAAAAACAAGAAACAAGTGTTGGCAAGGATGTGAAGAAAAGGGAACCTTTGTACAATACTGGTGGGAATGTAAAGTGGGATGGCCACTATGGGAAACAGTATGGACGTTCCTCAAAAAAATTGAAAATAGGGACTTCCCTGGAGGTCTAGTGGTTAAGAATCTGTGCTTCCAATGCAGGGGGCATGGGTTTGATCCCTAGTCAAGGAAATAACAGCCCACCTGCTGTGCAGTGCAGCAAACAGACAAAAAAGAAAAAAAAAAATCAAAACCAGAACTAACTAGGAGCCAACAATTCCACACCTGGGAATATATTAGAAGGAAACGAAAACACTATGTCAAAGAGATATCTGCACCCCCATGTTTAGAGCAGCATTATTTATAATACCCAAGAAATGGAAATAACCTAAGTGTTCATTGATGGATGAATGGATAACAAAGTTGTGATACACACACACACAATGGATTATTACTCAGCCATACAAAAAGGAGGCAATCCTGCCATTTGTGACATGGATGGACCTTGAGGGCATTATGCTAAGTGAAACTGAAATAAGTCAGACAGAGAAAGACAAATAACTATATGACATCACTTATATGGGGAATGAAAAAACTTTAAAAACACAATATAAACCATCACCACAACCACCAAAACAAAAACCAAACTCATAGAAAAAGAGATCAGATTTGTGGTTACCAGAGGCAGGCAGTGGGGGAGGGGGATTGGATGAAGGTGGTCAAAACGTACAAATTTCCAGTTATAATATAAATAAGTACCAGGGATGTAATGTACAACATGATGACTATAGTTAAGCCTGCTGTATGGTATATATGAAAGTTGTTGAGAATAAATCCTGAGTTCTCATCACAAGGAAATAAAAGTATTAAAATACCTAGAACTAACTGACAATGAAAAACACTACAATCAAAGTTGTGATACAAACCTAAAGTAGTGGGAAATTTATAGATCTACATAGAACAGGACACAAGAAAAATTAAAACTAACACCAAGGAAAAAAATTTATGGCCCTACTCCGTGGCCCAACAAGTAGGGAGCTTAGACTTCCACCCCTGCCCAGCTGTACTTAAGTGTCCCAATCTACTCCACTGGGATGGTGTCAGCAGAGGCCTAGAAGGGAGCCTGAACTCCCAATCCTGCCCAGCAAACATGAGGCTTGCCCCACCCTATGTGGCATATCAAGGGAACCTGAACACATCCCCATCTTCCTGCAGTACCAGAGGACTGACTGCTAAAACAGAAGAGTTACATAGCCTCATAATACCCAAAGAATATAGATATAACTGAAAAATCACTTGTCATACCAAGAACCAGGAAAATCTCAGCTTGAATAGGAAACGACAATCAACAGAAAGCCACACCAGAAACAGATGTTGGAATTGCCTGACAAGGATTTTAAAGTAGCCATTATAAAAATGCTTCAACAGGCAATTATGAACATGATTGAAACAAATGAGAAACAAGAACAGCAAGTCTCAGCAAAGAAAAAGAATCAAATGGACATTTTAGAACTGAAAGATACAATATCACAGTCCTTGAGCAAAAAAGAACCTGCACAACTAACCTCCTGGGGCTTCTTTGGACTAGCTGCCTCTTCGGGACTGGCCCCAGCCACGCTCTTGCTCCGCTTCCTATTTCCACGTGGGTACTG